TTATAAATTATGATCTTTGGTTTTCTGTACTTCAGATATTTTGGAATCCCTGGCCTTCTGAAGTCTTGATTTGTCATTCTGAGCAGTAACCTACTTAATACTTACTTCACTGATTATTAGGAATAGGGTTTCAATTGTCACAATGTACTTCATACCTATTCTTGGGTAGCTTGACAATAATGCCTTTGAGGATGTCATTCTTTTCCTAGTCTTATGAAAGTCTGCCAGTACATCTATGGATAAGTCTGGAACATCGTAGACTATACCTAAATCTATACCTCTTGCTTGGGTGATTTTTCATGATCTTGGACTCTGCACTGACGTCTTGTGATGTCTGTGGTTCAGTATTAATGTTGAAGGTATCTATACTGTACAATCTTAAGAATTTACAGGCTCATCTGACTTTGGTCTGTCCAGTACCTGTGGGAAATACTAAAGCTTGTTCACATTCAGTTGCTATGGGCTATTCGTTTCTTTGGAGGTTCTTCCTCTAATGTACAGTTCATGTGCAGTCTTATACACTCATGCTGGTGACCACAACACCTTCTTTACAGTTTTTGTTAATCTGTCTTTCTGAATGCACGCTAATGTTACTGTCATTGGTTTTCATGCAACCAGATGCAGTCGAGCTTGAATCTTTGCATTTTTCCGATAATAAGCAGACTTTGATGTTTCACGATCAATGCCAACATTGCATGTCTATCATGCGTTTCTAATTTGGGCCAAAGGAGGTGCTCTCTATCATTCCTCCCTCCCACTTTAGAGAGTTCATCATAAACATTTTCTTAGGCTGAGTCTGCCGGTTGAGTTATCAAGGCAAATGAGACACACAAGCTTCTCCACAATGGCAAGGCTGCAGGTCATTATGATGGCAGTGCCTATTCAGCCTATTCAGCAGTTCAGCAGAGATCCGTACATTAACTTCCACCAACAGTACCTGTTGACAGATTAGGGGAAAACTAAGCCACATTGTATAATTGCATCAGACATTACCACATGTAGAGAACCTCATGTCTGAACATGATGTGTATTAACAAGTGTAGATCATAAGGGAAACACTAAGTTTTCACTTTCTTACAATAATCTCTGTATATGTATTAATGTCCTATACAGTTTGCTTTTTCTTAAATGTCTTGAAATAATGTAACTCATTATGCTGTTTCATAATCTTGTTCTGCCCTTTTATGAAGTTTTGTAAAGCCCATAAAAGCAGATTAGTTTAGAAGGGGTTATTCACAAAAGGAGTGTATTCAGGATGAAAATAGCCTTGGTAACTATTACCAGGGGCCTTATAGACACTTAAAAGTAGGGAGCAGAAGATAACTCAACTGTTTGATCAAAGACACTCTGAAGACCCACTGACTAGGACTGGACAGAAATCAGCTAACGTGAAGAAGTAATACATTTTTTCACAAATGTAATCAAGGCTGTTCTCTAGGTAGGGCAGATTGTGTAAATCCACAATTAAATTTAGTCAACAGTAGTGGAGTAACTGGAGTTAACACCTATTAGGGAATCTATTAGGGATACTGCCACAAGATCTTTACCAAGTAGACATGGATCTTGGTTTAACATTTCACCTGAAAGATGATACCTTCTACAGCACAATGTTCCCTGTCAGAACACAAGGGAATTTGTCTGGAAATGGTTTTGCAGAAGGAAGAGTGCTACTTGCTGGTCTATCAACACTGCTTCCAGCAGGATTTATAGGTTAAATTACAGTAACTGCAAAGTCCTCAGTTTAGTTTTTTTCTTATGTATTACATAGAAATATGCGTAGATCTTGTGGGAGAATTGCAAAAGAACTGTGCAATAAAAATGCATTTAGGAATAATTTAAGAATTACATACAGTATCATATCCATCCTCCCTTTTTATAACCACTTTATCCAATTTAGGATTACCGGGGACCTGGAGACTAACTCAGGAAGCAATGAGCAAAAGGCAGGGTACACACTGGACAGGATGCCAGTTCATCACAGGGCATACATAGACAGGTACACACTCATATCAGGGACAATTATTCCAGAAGGCAATTTATCTACCAGTATGTTTTTGGATTATGGGAGGAAACCAGAGCACGCAGAGATCTAAGTGAACACGGGGAGAGCATACAAACTCCACGCAGATAGCACCCCAGATCCAGAATTGAACCCAGGACCCCAGCGTAGTGAGGCTGTGATGCTAAACACTGTGTCGTTTCCATGTTTGGTATAAACAAAATAATATCCTGAGAATGGCTCACTGAGGTTCAAGACTTCAGCACTCTCCTCTACTTCTCCTTTAAAATATTAATCATTATTTAAAATTTGATGTATCTAAGTGACTTTAGGCTTTAATGTCCTTTTTTTCTTCATGGCCATATTAAGTTAAATTTAAAATGTCAGAAAAAATTGAAACTTTGTAGTCTTATTGATGATGGAGTTGCATAATACTTGGGCATGTAATATTTTTTTTATTTTAGTTAATCTAATATTGACTGAATTTCCATTTCTTTATTGTATTAATTAATGTTGGTGGTGTTTTGAAATTAAACTTTTTTTTCCACTGGAATATTTTAATTTTGATATAGATTTTTTTCAAAAAGAACAAAATCCATTCCCTAGATAAAGCATGATGAAGGAAACGGCTAAATAATGTGACCATGCTCTGCTTAAGGATCTTTTTAGCCTTCAGCAAATTAAGAGAAACACAAATATGATTTTGTATATTTTCAACAACAGAGGAGTAGAAATGCTGCTTGGCTGAGCTCACTTCCAAACTTCTCCATACAAAATGGCAGAGACGCACAGTTGTGGCCCTATGAAGGAATGTAACACTATAGCATCAGGAGTTGATTTCAGTTGAGACACTGTAATTTCACGCTTGGTATCTAATTGATTACTCTGTTTGAAAGAACTCCAGTAAAGAGATGAGGTGTGCTGTTACATCTTTGTTGTATGTGAGAAAAGCACATTATGTTTTATATGCTTTAAAGTCACATATTCTTTTTTGTGAATTTCTGTAATATAATCCATCTTTGCAAATGATCTGCTAGGAAATCTTCTAAAACACAGATCTGACTAAAAATGGTTAAAGCACAATTTAACACTGACGTACACAAGAGCTTGTTGTGGCATGTCAGGTAATCAAAAATATGTGAAACTGAGTGCAAAAGTTTAGATAACATACTACAATGGAAGTATTACAAACCCCTTACAACTCAGTCAAGATGTGTTTTTACAGTACAGAAAAAAAAGTAGATGTAAATTCTGAGAAATAAAATCACTACAATATTATGCAACAGAGAGTTAGCAATACAGGAAGGAAGATTAGGCTTTATACACAGTGTGCACACTAACTAAGCATATGCATTTGCTCATTGTGTCAAAGCAATAGCTGAACCCTCATCTCTTTGAGTCAGCTCTGATAAGAGTTCCTACTTAAAAAAATCATATAAAAATCTTTCATGATGATTTGGAGTATGGAACTCTTTATCCAAATTACGTTACGTTCAATGATATTAAATGAACTTTTGTATACCTCTGTTTTTAATTCCAGAGTGTAACTCAGGTATGCAGGGAACATTTCTTTGAACATCTGTAATGCAGAAGGTGGAAATATTTTAGGTTAAAGGGCATACTGAAAGCAACTTAAGGACAACATGATTCATGCCCTCTGAGTGTGTAAAATAAAAAAAGACATTGGGAGAATTAATATTATAAGAAGTATACCCAAGAACACCACAGAAAAGTTACTGGCAAGGGTGGAGACTGTGGGTTCTCTCTTAGAGCACTATATTTAAACTCTGACTTTACTACAGAGCCTTTCCAGCAAAGACCATTACTACACCATACAATTAAGAAGATGTGAAATAGTCTTTTTTTCACATCTTGTAAAATCATCAAGAGCTACCACAGAAAAAATCACAATTTCAACAACATTCTGAACAGTAAATTATGCCCTGAAAATGAACCTCCTTTCAAAGGTAAGTTTGTTTAAGAAGTTGACTGTCTCTATGCTGAATTGAACAAATTATATTTATTTTTTCACAAAAAAAACAATGTTCATTTACACAGTGTTTTGTGTGGAATTCATGCACAATTAAACTGCACCATCATTCAAAATACGAAACGGTAGGGGTTTTGTACTTAGAGTGTGAAGACCATATTTAGAGGTTATGGGATATCCTGCTTGGGTTGTATTTGCAGTTTACAGTAGGCTTTAATAGTCATACACAGAAATGGCCTACTTTCTAAAGAAGCACAACTCCCATCCCCCTTCCTCCAGCAGAGCAAAACGCCAGATACTGTACACGACACCATATTACTTACAACAAAGAGCCATCTCTCCAGTGTCCAGTGGACCTTGCCTTTTAAACGTATGTCTTCATTTTACACAGTGGCCTCCTTATCTCATCTCAAGACTGATCATACAAACTTTACATACATCCTTGGGTCTGTTGCCCTTCCCTCTGCTATGTGTGTTTTTTTGTATTAAGTACATCCTTATTACATTATATGTATATTATATATGTACATTATATATGTATATATTCTACTCAGAGTGAGGCAATAGGCTAATAAAATGCATTGTACATCAGAGTTTTCCTAACTATCGATTTAAAACAAACCAAATTAGATCATAAAATGTGATGTGTATGGAAAAATCATTTACCCTCATTTAACCACATTTTGGGCATTGGACTGCAAACAAATTGTGATATTGTCTCAAGTTCAGCAATAAAAATTATAGCTTTACACATATTTCTTGATACTCTATGTACGAGACAGCGCCAAAATATAGCTGAAACAAAATATTTTAAGTTGTATAAAATTTCCACTGATATGCAGAGCTCACCACAAATATAGGCAGTAGACACTATCACAGAGCAAGCAAAGAGAAAGTAGGACATTTCTGTGTTCAGGTACAGTTGCCCCTTAAGGGCTCGGGATGAGCATGCGTAGAAAGATCCTAGGCTAACCAGAGCGCACTACATCATTATTGTCAAACATTCCGAGAGCAAGTCAGAAGAGAACAGTTCAACCTGCTCAGTACGACAACAAACTTAAATAACTTCAATATTGGCAAAAAATTTCATCATATTACAGGTAAGTAAACACATTTGTTGATTTGCAACACGCTGCTTAATTCATACGTTAAGTAAAGTTTTGCCTGCATACTGTACGTTTTCGAACGGAGTTTGAGAATGCTGTGTAGGGGCATGTGAGAGGCAAGCACCAGAAACGACCTGTCATACACAGCAAAAAAAGATGCATTGTAATTTGATTGTAGTCGTTTTTTGTCTTTATATAGTACAAGCATTTTATAATGTAAGGTGAGTTTAGAAACTGATGTACATTTGGCACTTTTAAATAAATTCTTTGTGCAGATAACAGTATCCCAATCCCAATGCCAAAGTTTTTTTTTATTCACGTTTCTGTTGCATTCATGTACACACCTCAAAGGTGTTTTTGTGAAACAGTGTTTTTCATTCTTTATGTTTCCCAGAGATATTTATATGCTATACTTTGTTCGTAAATTTTTAAAAAGAAAATACGAACCGAATACTCAACACATAAGGCTTTCCAGGATGAAGAAAAACACGTTATTTACCAAACTCCGCTGTACTTTTACATTTCTGACACTTCAGAATTTGCTGCTTTTCTAACAGTATTTTGTTTCATTCGTGACAATTCTGGTTTTCAGTCATTCATATATACAATGGAAACAGGAAAAGCAAAAATGTATATTTTTACAAACCATATTAACACATTTTAGTCTTTAGAATGCTACAGGTTTTACTGTCGTGTTTTCTACGATCTGTACTCTTGTAGTAAGTAGTCGTTAATATTTTAATGTTTTTTAAAGAGCCGAAGTAGGAAAGTGAGAGGATTAAAATGCGTCCTTTTGAAAGTACCTTTTCAATCTGACAAGCTGTAGTGGGTAGCTAGAGTCACATTTTATTTCTAATCCTCTTTGGTCCTATATCAGTCTTTCTGCTCTATATATAGTATAAAGATGCATCAACATAAAATGACCTATCGTTACGTTTCCTGATCAGCTTTCTTACATGATTAGTCCAATGACTGGCAACAGAAACTGTATGTTTAGACTATGTTGTTTAATTTATTGAGCAATGGTGAGCGTAGTTTGTATTAAGACCAGTTACTGTACATGCTTCACCAAAACAGCGCTTTGTTTCCAGGGATAAGCCCTAGAAAAATTAATAAATCTTTGGAGAGGAATTTAATATGCAAGGGCTGGCCCATTTTAGAAGTAGAGCACATGGATTTCAGTCATATTTGTTAGTTTCAAATGGTATACAGTAGTTACTTCTGACTGCCTGTTCTTTTGTACTGATCAAATACAATAAAAAAGTGTTTAGCTGAATTTGATATTTTATTTTTGCCAAAATTCATGCAGATGGTAAAAAGGTCTCTTGCTGTTATCATCTGTCTGAGTTTTTTTTCTTTGTTGGGCACAGATATTGCTTTGGATGACCTTAGAAAGTCCTACATATAAAGGTGTAGTTACCTAGTAAATGGTGTGTTGTTTTATTTTAAATTGTTATGGCATGTGGATACTTTACTTAACACTTAGATTGACTGAAAGGCAGTATTCAGAAATACCATATTCTTGAAGTGATAATTGTATTATTTGTTGTTTAGTATACAAATTTGTTTTCTTCAAACTGCTAAAGTATAGTCTCGTTTAAAGCTGAACTGCATGTTTTAGTTATTGCAAGAGGTACAGTGTGGATTCAAATAGCTGTTTAGTCCTCAATTGTCAGAATAATTCAGGCCACTTAAAAAAACATTTTGCCTCTTTTATGTATTGCTGTGACTGTTTAAATGGAACTATTATGCAGATTTTCTTGATTGGTATATGCATTGCCCAAATTAAATAAACTGCCTAAATGCAGTTAACATGATTGACTTGATGCAATATTTAAGATTGCATTGTTAAAAACATTAATCTGAGTTTTTAAAAAGTAGCAGCCTAGCACATGACCATAGTAACAAATTAGTTCAAGCCAGTGTGTAATAAGTTACTGAATTCTTAAACAAAACATAAAAAGATTTAGAATAATAATTGTTGTAAAAGATAACATGCAGTGGGAGTTTTAGATGTGTGGTTTACCTACTTTGATCTTTTATCAACCACACTGTACTTTGTCTAATTGTTTTGACTTCCCTATATACATTTAAGTATTTTATTTAAGAAGTTTTGCAATTTTAAAAAAATACAAACTAAAAAATACAAACAAAAAGAAACACCCAGACAATGCACAGAAAACACAGACTTGCTTATGGCTTTTTATGATTTTCTGGTTGAGATAAGAATCAAATCAAAATCTGTGATAGGATCACAAAATGATAATGTATTTATCCATGAGTGTTTCATACATCCAAAGCTAAGTCTTTTTCAAACCATTCGAGAAAGGTACCCTAGATCACATGGAATCACTGCAGAGTGCTTGTACTGTATATAGAAACAAATGATCTCCATTGATTATCTCATTGAACCACCTCTTTAAACTGGGTTCAAAGACAGAATTCCATTCTTTAAGAATATTTTTTGACCACAACTATTATGAACATCGGCGCTGATTGTTCTGCTTTTGTTAATCTGAACATTGCCTCTTAACACCTGAAGAGTGCTGTAAATTCTTATATATTACCAGAAATTATATTCTGTAATATGTACAGTATAGACCAAAGCAGCCACAGGTGAGATGAAGCTGATTCCCATTCTATAAGAAATGCAGCCTCTCCCTTTGTCCTTTTCATAGTTTGAGAATCTGACATTTCAACAGTCATTTAACTATTGTCAGTTCCATAGGTTTCATTGTTTACATTATTATTAAAGTTAAATCCTATAGCAGCATGCTTCAAAACATAAACAAATAAATCCAAAACAAGGACAAATGTTTCGTTCTCCACATCAACATCAGTGCTACCCTATTTGGAATTGCTTGCCAGAGTATACTTAAAGTGAAAATTACCTTAAATTATTATGATTATGCTTTTTTTTTAATTAAACAAGTCTCATGTTGAAAAATCCTGTTTGAGGTGAGCTCTAAACTTCAGCATGTTCCTAACAATGATGTCTGTTTTCTGCCTTAATTGTCAAACGTTATGTTAATTTACTGCCATAATGCTGTTATGTAGTATTGATACTGTTAATTACAGTGATTTTAGTCTCTTATGGCAGAAGTGTGGATGCCATCCTGAGGCAGGGACTGACTTTACAGTTGGGCTTTCAGATATCTTACATGTTCTCTAGTATATGTATTTGGTTGAAAACTAATACTACTAATACTCATTACACACTAATATGTGTAAACATTAGGTGTAACTCATCCAAAATAGTGTGCTCATATGTGATTTAAGCACTTTATGTTGTCATTTAGTTGAGAGTTCTTTCATTCATGGATTTCTTTAATTCTTTTATGGGACTCAATGAAACAGTGAATGGAATTTTTTATGTGCATGATAGTAACATCATCTGGGAAGGACCAGACCAGACAGAGGAGGCCACCCAGCTGTGTGCTGGCGTGAACATTTTAACGTTTGCAGTTGTTAAAAAAGATGCTATTCAGACTTCAGCCTTTTTGTGCTGTTGCTTTCTCCAGAGAAAAGCCCAACAAAACTTGGCTTCTGTCAGGATGGTGTCAGTGCAGTATAAAATAATTGCAAACATAACACTAAGTGCAGTATTTGTTTTTCTCATAGTATCACCCTACCCATGACATCAAACGGCACTGGTGAAAGAGTCATGAGTATGTGAAATCGGCTCAGTATCAGCTAGTGATTGAAAGCGCTCAGAGAATGGAAGTGGCAAGGAAGGTAGGGACGGAACATGCAGTATTTCAGCACTGGTTGTCATGTATGTGTGCCTAGTTCAGTGCAGAATAAAAACTAAACCGTGATAGTGAAAAAATAGTTCACCCTTTTGAAAATGCACATAATACTGTATGAAGTACTTGAAATAAAGCAAACTTCAATAAATAAGCTCAAACCTTTTAGTGGCAGAAAACAAAATAATTCCATTATTTATTTTGAAAAGGACCAAACATTGCTCATCTGGCACCCTGTGTGGGCATTGCTGAATGACTTTTATGATATGCATTTTGTTAGATATACTCATAAAATTACTCATGATCAGTTGTAGTTTTGCCTGTGAAAAAGGTTCACAATGTGTATTCAGAAAGTTTTGAATGCTTTACCAGATTGTGTTAGTTGTGGGCATGTACATTTGAACTGTGGTGATGTTTTATTATTTTAATTAGAAACATATACATTTGGGAATCAATTAATCATAAATGTAAGAGCATATGGTATCAATTAACAGTACCATAATGACGTGTGATCTACATTGACACATCTCCTAAGGCTATTTTTATTATATGGGATTTTTGTTTCAAATTAATTTAAGCATTATGACATAGCCCTATAATTTGTATAATGGTGATGATTAATAGACTAAGGTTGACAAACTGTTTTCAGCATTCACTAAATATACCTTCAGGTGTTACACTTCACACTTTAACCAAACATTGTGCTTCACTTTTAGTTGTACAATGAAGTGATGCACATCAATAATATAATCTTTTCCAGATTCATTGTGATAAATCGCCAAATAAGTGGGTGTATATACTGAATTATTTTGTACAAAATCTTTGCTTTGGTATGTATTTAATATTTACCTTAAATCCATTACAGACAATATAGATTTTGAAGTAAATAATTGAGAAAGAACATATATGATGTAGGAAGGTTTTCAGCACTTCTATTAGTAATATTATGTTATGTATTCTTCTTGTATTTAATACATTTGTGTACTACTGTTGACCTTATTTGAAATGTGTTTTCCTCTATAATATCTGTAATGTCATATGTTGCATTGTTGCCTTTTCTAATTTTCAGTTTTTTTTTCTTCTAAATTCTAGTGATGTGCTTAGGTGGCTGTTTAATTAGTTCTCATTCTGTCTCGTAGTGATTTATGGGCCTCCTATTATTATATTGAAATGATCTATTTCTTAATGAAGTAGAAAGACTGCATTAGTTCGCACCTGTAATTGTGCAAATGTATTTTTGTGTGACTGGTTGAACTGTCTATGCAATGACATGGAATCACCAATCAAAAGTAGGTATCCATTTAGAATTATACAAACAAAATCAGCTGGACATTATTCGGAAAAGCGAGAATGTTTGTCATTATTGTGAGAGAAATTCTCTGTTCTGATGCCTTTTTACCATTTTTAATGTTCATAAACTAGGTGAAGAAAATACTGAAATTAAGCGTGTGTGAGATGTGGCACAAGCAGTCTTTGTTGTCAGATCATATTAGGAAAATTAACAGTACCCAGCAAATTGCCCATGAAAACTTTATCAGTGAGTTCATAATTCAGTGTAACTATTTTGCCAGCCAAGGCCATTAAAATTTATACCTATATATTATTTAGCTCACATTTAGTTTTTCTGAAGAAAATTGGACACAAGGTAACACTGCAGCCTCCCTATATCTCTGTTAGTACTGCGTTTGTAGGGAGTACGGAAATATTTCATGTAGGAATTATCATTTTTATTCTTGGAGGAGCCTAGGGGCTGCAATTCAGAACATAGTGGGAATGGGGCAGAAATAAATTGGCTCCATGTCTAGCATGTCTCTATGGAGTTTAACAAATGATGGCCATGGCAAAGAAACTAGGATATGGGAAGGTCAGCTGCTTTCAGTAATTAGCAGCAAGGACAGGCTTGAAGGTGGGGGAAAAGAAGACTTCTCTTAATGGGTAATTAATCATGGCGGTGCAGTGTTTTTTGACAGTACTTCTGCTGTTTCTATTTAAAGGTGTTATTTTCTTTTGCGAAAACTGCTAAAATTGATGTCAATGCAGAGTATGTTCTGAATGGTTTATTCCTCTTCATTTGACCAAAATTCATGCAGCAGGGATTTTTAAACACATTTCTGATTTGAAAGGCTGGGGAGTGAAAACAAGCCTGTTTGTTTCTGTCCATTCAAGGTTGGCACAAACAGTTGAATTTGTGATTTCATGGGAATCTTGTATTCACACTTTTTTTCAAGATGCAAATGGTCACCCCTTCCCTGTAAAGAAAGATCCCCTGCCAGGTGCAGCATACATCTGGACATTTTCCACAATTTAAGGCTGAATACATATTCTTCACCGGTAAGATAGAGATGAAAACTCCTGATAGAACATTCTGCATTATCAAGGTCACTGCAATGAGAACGGTGTATATCTGAATGTCAAATGCAAGGAATTAATTCATGGGAGACATTTTGCTGAAGTGAGTAAAATTAGATTTTTTTTCTGTTTGACAGGGTTTGTGTATTTTTATGCTTTTTTCATTCTTTATGCATTTTAAAATAACCTCTGATAATTTTCTTTGTAAATATTTTATTTGGAATGAAGGTAATTGTAACTTTGAACCTAGGTTTATGATTATTCCAATTCTTTACTATTTACTTGTATTTTATTGGCAGTTCCTTAGACGTTATCCAAATCCAACCTCTGTAAACATATTAAATTTAACAGACTGTTGTGATATCCTCTGAAACACTTTTCAAGAATTACTGTGGCTGCATAATATTAATTAGTTATCCAGCTGACTGGAACAATCAAAATGAAAAACATTTCAAAAGCATCTTTATATAGCAAAAAGTAAACTGTCCCAGTCTGTCTGTACTAATGTAGAAAAGCAACACTCTTGTCCAGTGAACTAAATCTCATTTTTTAAACATAAATACCAATCAGAAAACAGTAAAGTTGATATGCTGTAAGAATCATGATACAGTTTCTGTGTGAACCGTAATGTAGTTAGCACAATTTATCCATAAGTATTAACACAATTATTATTGACACATAGACCTGATGACCTTCTGGACTGCACAGCCACAGTCAGATCTGGTTGGTCAGTTGCAATTGTCTTTTGTTAACGGCATTAGGAAGTTCTGTTGGAGTTAGGGCCAGGAGAAAAATCTCAAAAATCCAACACTGTTTATTTGAAGTTGTGCCATTGTAATTATAGCGCCTTTCCATTGTTTTGTGGAAATTTGAACAGATTGGTTTGCATGAATGAAATAAGTACTGGCTCAAGGACTTTGTCAATGGATTGCTGAGCAGTTTGCACCAAATGTGTTCTTAATGTGACAAAAGGCTAGGTTAAGATATTCCTGCTGTGCTTTACACTGTAGTGTGAAAACAATAATAACACTGATGGATTATACGGATCTGTTTTGGTTTTTGACAGGTATGGTAACCCTTTGCCTACCAAGGCATGGCCTGTACCTCAAAATACAAGTTACAGTACTTGTTATTTCTGGACTAGTTTGTCAAAACAGAACATCTTGTTCTCCAGGCAGCTTCTCTGTATGAACATATGCAGGGATATTCTGACAGATAGGGGATTACAAATGTAGAGAATTACCAGAAATAAGCAGAGTGGAATTATCAATACGTAAATTAAATATTTGTAAAGATTTTGCCAAGAATATACCAGAGTGGTTGGTATAATTAGAGGCACCAGAGTTCTTTGTACGTTATTCAAGATATGGTGAAATAAGTAATAAGGTTTAAACACATATGTATTATTAATGATATAACACAAACTAAACAACATACAACACAACGTAAAACATGCTATTTACAAACAGGGCTTTACGAAGGGCCGTGTCCTGATCAGATGTTAAAAATGATTTGAATCCTATATACAGTAATGCAAACCAGCCACTAAATGGAGATAAACCTGGCATCTTTACCAACAGAGCTTAGAGTTAAACCTCTCTCTTTATAACCCAGATGCTATAAAATTAATGGAGCCTTCCTCTCTATTCTAAAAATGTATCCACTGATCAGCAGAGACTCTTTTTTTAATCTAGGGATTCTCTATACAGGAAATCCGAATTACCTAAAAAACAATAGAATGGAAAGTTCTCTTCACAAGGTTTCAAATACTTAACTCAAATCTGGTCTTAAAGGTGGATTGGAACAAGGACCCTCCTGACTGGCAGTCACTTCTCCTCTACCTTGTGTCTTACTGTCCTTTCTCCCATGTCGTATCTCTCTGTCACCCCATCTGTCCATCACTCTGCCTGTTTTTATCCTTTATTCCTCCTCTTTTGATTAATCATTTATCCAGAACCTAATTAATCAAGGTCAACTTGACAATTCCTTTGATCAATGTGTCTCACACCCAGTATAGTGTAAGTATAGTAAGCTCACGAGAACTCTGAATATTAACATAAGCCAGGTGTTAAAAACCATTGTCCCTAGATTCTTGAGACACTTCAATAGTCACTTCCAATAACTGTAACAATATAAAAAGACATCCATAGCAACCAGTACTCAAGATGGGTATGGTCCTTTAACACTTTTTGCATTAATTAGAATATCTGTTTTTATAGATTCTGTGCTGATATTTTTGTGGTTTCAATTCACACAACATACACTCAGTCCCTGTTATTTTACTTTATTTATTTTAAAGTTTTGTTCATTGTTTGAGCAGTATTTTTCCTTAGGATAACAAAATGCAAAGCTCAAGCCATATGATGGAGTTTTATTTCTGTTTTGTTATCCTGAGGAAACATACTGCTCAAACAATAAACAAAACTTTATGCTTACTGTTCTAACTGTAAATTACATTATGTCCCCAATTAGCTATTGGTATGACAATTGAGGCTTAAGATTTGAGACTTGTACTCTCATTGGCTTCAACTCAGTTGTTTTTTTTTTATTGAATACAATCACATTTTAACTGCTTAATAAAACTTGAGTAAAGAGTGCCACATTGCAAGCTCAGTAGTGACATTACAGCTTCTTGCAACA